GAGGGAGGAGGGAGTCAACCGAAAATCGGGGGTCATCTTATATACGCCGAGTATATCCCGAAAAAGTCTCGATATGCCGCTAAACAAATTTTGCAACTCGATCTCGCACCAATCACTGCAAGGCTGTTTGGACCGCCTCTCTAACTCAGCCAATCCAAGCAGGCTTTTTATGCGAGCAAATTATACATGTTCTGTACCCGAAGCTACACTGTGTTCTAGTAAAAAGCCTGCTCAGATTGATCAGAGTCAGAGAGGCGGTCTATTAAAAAAAGAACTGGTGTTGCCTCGGAAGTGGGGGGTAGACTTATACAGCGAAAATAGGCCTAAACCTATGTTTTAACTGTAAAATTAGGGGGTCATCTTATACTCCAGAAAATACGGTACCCACCATAGCTGCTTTTTTTAAATTTTTTTTTAATCAATCTTTATTGTTCATATTATTACAAAGGTTCCTCATTTCTTCCCCCCTCCACTAGGTTCCCACCCCCCATTGTCCTCATCCATAGGTACACAGTTTATGTCCAGTCTCTTCCTGCATCCACCACTCCCCTTCCCCCCCCTCGAGAATTGTCAGTCCACTCCCTTACCGTATCTCTGATTCTATTATAATCAACAGTTAATATTGTTTATCAAGTTTTTTAATTTCCTTTTTTTTTTAAATTAATACACTTTTATATTTTTAAGAATAAATTTCAAAATCTAATAATTTTAAACCTTGTTTTTTCTGCCCTGGGAACTGAGAAGCAAACTTGTTTACATGTAAACTTGCCTTTAGGCTATCAAAAGGTGTAGCCTTTCAAATGTAAATGAACACATTGTTTAAAGATAGCCTCTGGCTAGAATTGGATTACCTGTTCTGGGTGGGAAGGGCTTGTCATTCCCCTTCTCCATTAAAATTAAAGGGTTAGCTTTAAAACCTCTTTTTGGCAAGAGACCTTAAACTTTCAGAACTTTACATTTTTCAGATAGTAAATCAATTACTTAGCATTTTCTCAAATCAATAATACCTCCACATGCCCAAGGATACACTTCACACAAAAGACACATCCAAATAGATCAATCAACCTCATCCAGACAGCACACAAGGCACTCACAGATCAACACCCCAGCGCTATACTAACTCAACACATCCAGATCTAAGTCTTCATCACTTGATTCAGCAGACCCTCAAGTTCCCCCAAAAGTTTCCAGCCATGTCTGAGAAGCAGCCCTGAGGCATGGGCAGGTGAGGAGTGAGCTGTTCCGGGCCCAGCAGCTCTGGGCCTGGCCTTTGTTGCTCCAGGCAGCTCCACACCCAGCTGCTCCGGGTCTGGCTACTGCTGCTCTGGGCCTGGTTGCTCCCGATACGGCTGTTCTGGGCCCGGCTGCTCTGGGTCTGGCAGCTCTCGGCTTGGTTGCTCTGGGCTTGGCCTCTGCTGCTCCGAGCCCGGCTGCTCTGGGCCTGGCTGCTTCCAACCCGGCTGCTCTGGGCACAGACGCTCCAGGCTTGGCCGCTCCTGGCCTGGCTGCTCTGGGCATGGCTGTTGCTGCTCCAGGCCTGGCAGCTCCCAGCCTGGCCACTTCAGGCCTGACTGCTGCTGCTCTGGGCCTGGATGCTCCCAACCCGGCTGCTCTGGTCCTGGCTGCTCCGGGTCTGGCTGCTCCTGGCCTGGCCGCCCTGGGCTTGGCCACCTCCTCCCCAGGCCTGGCTGCCACTGCCCCAGGTCTGGCTGTTCCGGGCCTGGCTGCCACTGCTCTGGGCCTGGACACCGCTGCTCCAACATTTTGTCATGATTTTGTATCCATTCAGCTACCCTATGTCTTTTGAATGGAGCATTTAATCCATTCACATTTAATGTTATTAGTGATAGGTACTTACTGATCACCATTTTAATTCTGTATCCTAGGTTTCTCTCTGTATTTCTTCTCATTACAGCAGTCCCTTTCACATTTCTCGTAATGCTGGCTCAGTGTAGATTAACTCCTTTAACCTTTTTAATTTTTAATTTGGGAAGCTCTTTATTTGACCATCTATTTTGAATGATAGCCTTGCTGGATATAGTGACCATGGTTTCAGATCCTTTTCATTACCTTGAGTACTTCATGCCATTCCTTTCTGGCCTTAGAGATTCTTATGAAAAATCGGGTGTCAGCCTTAAGGGAGCTCCTTTGCAGGTAACAAGTTGCTTTTCTCTTGCTACCTTTAAGATTCTCTCCGTCTTTAATTTTTGTCATTTTAATTATGATGTTTCTCAGTATGGGCCTGCTTGGGTTTTTCTTGCTTGGGACTCTTGGTGCCTCCTGAACTTGTATGACTTTTTCCTTCACCAGGTTAGGGAAGTTTTCAACAATTATTTCTTCAAACACATTCTCTAAAACTTTCTCTCTTTCTGTCTCTTCTGGCACACCTACTCAGCTAATATTTTTATGTTTCATATCCCAAAGCTCCCTTATGCTTTCCTCCTGCTTTTTTTTTTAATTTAAGAAATCTTTATTGTTCAGATTATTACAATTGTTTCTTCTTTTTACCACAATAGCTCCCCTCCATCCAGTTCCCACCACACCCTCTGCCCTTACCTTCTCCCCACTGTCTTCATTCATAGGTGTACCATTTTTGTCCAGTCTCTTCCAGTATCCCAAACACCCCATTCCCCCTTCAGAATTATCAATTCACTCTCTTTCTATGCCCTTGATTCTATTGTATTCACCAGTTTATTCTTTTCCTCAGATTTTTAATTCACTTGATTTTTGAATTTGTTAATATGTATTTGTTATTCATAATTTTATCTTTATCTTTTTCTTCTTCTTCCTCTTCTTAAAGAATACAGTTGAGCATTTCATATCATACTGGTTTGGTGGTGATGAACTCCTTTAGCTTTTTCTTATCTGTGAAGCTCTTTATCTGAACTTCAATTCTGAGTGATAGTTTTGCTGGGTAGAGTAATCTTAGTTGTAAATTCTTGCTATTCATCACTTTGAATATTTCTTGCCACTTCCTTCTGGCCTGCATAGTTTCTGTTGAGAAATCAACTGACAATCCTATGGGTGCTCCCTTGTAGGTAACTAACTGTTTTTCTCTTGCTGCTTTTAATATTCTCTCTTTGTCTCTTGCTCTTGGCATTTTAATTATGATGTGTCTTGGTGTTGTCCTCTTTGGATTCCTTTTGTATGGGGTTCTGTGCTCTTCCTGGACTTGTAAGTCTAATTCTTTCACCAGGTGGGGTACTTTTTCTGTCATTATTTCTTCAAATAGGTTTTCAGTATCTTGCTCTCTCTCGTCTTCTGGCACCCCCATAATTTTGATGTTGGTATGCTTGAAGTTGTCCCAGAGGCTTCTTACACTATTTTTAAATTTTTGGATTCTTTTTTCTTTCTGCTTTTTCAGTTGCGTGTTTTTTGCTTCTCTGTATTCCAAATCTTTGACATGATTCTTGCATTCCTCTAATCTGCTTTTAGGTCTCTGTATAATATTTTTTTATTTCAGACAGTGTATGTTTAATTTCTACTTGGTCCTTTTTCATATCTTTGAGGATCTCATTAAATTTATTGGCCTTTCCTAGGAAATTCTTTAAAAAAACCTTTGGTTTTGAGCTCTATATCCAGTCATTTGTTTTCCTTCATTTCTTTTGTTTGTGATCTGTTTCTTTGTCTCCACATTTTTGCTGCTTACCTGAGTTGGTAGGGTGGCTTTGTGTGCTAGGTGTCCTATAGGGCCCAGAAGGTCAGCTTCCCCAGTTACCTGGAGAGGGAGGGGAATACTCTTGGTGCATTCCTTTGTGGACTGTGTGTACACACTTATTATAGTTAAGTCTTGATTGTTGTCAGTGTCACTGGAAGGAATTGACCTCCAGGCCAAATGGCTATGAGGACTCGCTAAACCCACACCAAATGGAAGGACTCTGTGCTGTGGAGGCATGCTTATGGAGCAGGACTTCTTTTGGTGGGGTTTTGGTGCTCAAGTCTGCCTCTTGAATGTGTCTCTTATGGATGTGAGTAGTTGAAATATGGTGTTGTGTCACACTGACCACTAGGTACATTGGTTTCTGGATCTCCAATGGGGTGCAGGTCAGCTACTGTCTGAGGCCACCCAGCAGGAGCTACAGCAAGAACTACAGTACCGTATTTTCCGGCGTATAAGACGACTTTTGAAACAAAAAAAAGTCAACCAAAAATCGGGGGCAAAAGACTAAAATTGCACAAAAGTTACCTGCAGATCTTGAAGCAAAATAAGTCTTTTCTTTGAAGTGGGGGGTAGTCTTATACAGTGAACATATGCCTATGTAAACCTGTGTTTTAACTGTAAAATTAGGGCATCGTCTTATACGCCAGAAAATACGGTATTTTCCTCTTTGTTTGGGGTTTAGAGGTTTTGGAGCTGTCTGACCAGAGCTGCAGTTTGTTCAGTTAAGCTGCCATTGGGCAGGCCATTCACCTGAAAAAGCAGCTTCTCAGAGCTTGGGTGGGTTTGTAGATTGTGCAAGACGGAGTTTCAGGGAGTCACTAGGGTAGAGTGTGGCAAACAGTGATGGCTGCCAGACAGCCATCTCTGCATCTTCACATTTCCAAGGCTTCGCATCCCGAGCCCCAGCGCAGTAAACAATGATTGCTGGGCGCACCTCTGCAAGAAAGTCACCCTCACTTTCTGACCGGATGACAGTCAGTCCAGCTTCTCCCCCATAGGTGTTTGGGTCCCCAGCATCTCCCTGGAAACTGGTGTTCAGAGTAACCAGGAGCTTGTCTCCCTTCAGGTTGAAAAAACCAGCACAACCAGTCACCCACTGCCAGTCTAATTTGCATGCCTCCCATACCTCAGCTTTTCAGCGCTTGTGCATGTCTCAATGCTCTTTTCTCTTTCCTTCTCATTGTAGTACTTCCACTCAGCCAGATTTCCCATGGTTCTGGGTGATAGATGTTTTGTCTTTTAGTTGTAGTTTTGAAATTGTTGTGCGAGGAAGCAGTTTAGGTGTTTTCCTATGCTGCCATCTTGGTTTCCCTCTGTTTGTTTGTTTATTTGGTTTTTTATAGAGCACAAACACAGTCCCCCACTACCACAAATTATGCAGTCAAATTTTCCAGATTTTGGGAAATCACAGGGATCAGCATATCCAGAGTGCAATAGATAAGCTTCACCCTGGAGAAAGCATCTTCCTGATCATGGTATCCCACCTGCCAGGTAAGTATCCTCCTGTTTTTTAATTTTTTTTCTTTTTTGGTTCTCTGATTGAGTGATTATTTCATAGCCTATCTTCTAATTTACTGATCTGATCCTCAACTTCTAATCTGCTGTGTATTCCTTTTAATGTGTTCTTTATTTGTGCTTGGTCATTCTATATTTCCTATTGTTCTTTTTTCATAGTTACTATCTTTTCTCTTGCTGTTGAGCATGTTTGCCATCATTATTCTGAACTCTATATTTGATAAATGTCTTATCTCCATTTCATTTATCTCTTCTTCTGGAAAATTCTCTTATTCCTTCATTTGGGCATTGTTTCTTTGTCTCCTCATTTTGGCTGACTGTTTGGGTTTGTATCTATATTAGGTAGATCTACTATGCCTCTCAATCTCTTGTACAGGATTGTGTCACTGTTTCTGAATAATTTCATCAGGCAGTGACTCAAAGCCTCCAGAAACCTGCCTCTGCTTGCAGACTGATTGGATTCAGTCTTAAGTAGCTTTCAGGAAATTGTCCACAGGTGTGGTTAGAGTTTTTCAAACAAGGTGGGGCAATTTCTTCTTGGAGGCTAATTATTATTATTAACGTGCCTCAAAAACTCCATACCATGGGGCAAGGTGTTTTCCAATAGGGTAGGTCAACTGTCTTCCTTCTCCCCTCTCCCCCACACTCAGGAAAACCTGCCTGGATAGTAAATGTCTACATGAGAAAGATGATCTCCTCAGCATGAGAGAATGACTCAGCACAGGAGATGGGGTGTCTGCTTTCTGAGCTCTAACCCCAAAGTCCCAGTCCTGGCTTCTATTCACACAGCTCCAATATATTCTGTCCTTCTCTTCCAGAGTACAAGATGAGTAGCTGCACAAGAAATGTTTTTAAAATTTATTTTTATTGATTTCAGAGAGGAAGGGGGAGGGAGATAGAAACATCAATGATGAGAAAGAATCATTGATTGCATTCCTCCTGCAAGCCCCCCCACTGGGGATCAAATCCACTACCCAGTCATGTAAACCTTGACTGAATCAAACCCAGAATTCTTCAGTACACAGGCTGACGCTTTATCCACTGAGCCAGACCAGCCAGGGCCGCACAGAGAATTTTGTGTGTTGGCTCTTTAAGAGGGTGCCTGCATTTACAGCCATCTTTCCCTGGCAGCCAGCATCCCTGTTGCTTTTCACAGCCAAATGTTATGTGGGCACCTGTCTCAGTTCTGGTGCTCTCTGCTTGGGGGCCCAGCTTGGGGATTAGACCCCAGTGTTCTCAGTGGCATTCCCCCACAGCTGAGATATCTCACTGGAACTTCAGCTGCTGTCTGTGGGAGCCCAGCCAGTATTTTGTGTCTCCGCTCTTCCTACCAGTGTCTATGCAGTTTCTACTTTTCTTTCTTTGATATCAGAGTTATCCCCAGCTAGTCTTCAGTTGATTTTTCTGGATATTTTTTATATTTTAGTTGTAATTTCATTATGGTCCTGGCAGTGTATCTGTGTATCATCCACTTACTCTGCCACCATTTTTAATCCATCTATAGCCTTAGTTTTAAAGTCTTTTTCTTTTTTCATTTTCATTCACATTATTTTTTTCCATCCTGTTTTAATCTGTTTGTATCTTTTGTTCAGAGGTAAATCTCATGTTGACCCATTTATATGGTTATTTCTTTCTTATCTATTCAGCTAACCCCATGGGGGGCAAGCTGCAGCTCACGACCCACATGCGGCTCTTTGGCCCCTTGAGTGTGGCTCTTCCACAAAATACCACAACCTGGGTGAGTCTATTTTGAAGAAATGAATTTAGAAGTTTAAGTTTGAAAAATTTGGCTCTCAAAAGAAATTTCAATCGTTTTACTGTTGATATTTGGCTCTGTTAACTAATGAGTTTGCCTACCACTGAGCTAACATATGTGTTTTTATTGGAGCACTCAAGGCATTTGCATTTAAAGTGATTATTGATACATGCATATTTGTTGCCATTTTATTCTTAAAGTCATTTAGCTTTTTCTTGTGTGGGAAGACCTTAATTTTTCCTCTAATTTTAAATGATAGTCTTGCTGTGTAAAGTAGTGTTGGTTATCTTACTTTTCATCACTTTGAATATTGCTCGCCCATCCCTTCTGACCTGCAAAATTTCTGTAGACAGTATTATGGGAGCTCCCTTATAGATAACTGCCACGACCTGCATGGTGAGGTTCAGGTTCTGAAGGAAGGGCTGATGCACAAATGAAAATGCTATACAAAAAAATGTGAATTTTGGAACGAAGATACCGGGAGAAACCAAGATGGCGGCATAGGTAACTACCTGCAATTGCTGCCTCACACAACCACTTCAAAACTACAACTAAAAGACAAAATGGACATCATCTAGAACCACAGGAAGGCTAGCTGAGTGGAAATTCTTTAACTAGAAGGAAAGAGAAAAGCACACAGAGACTCAGAGGAGGTGCAGAAGTAAAGTTCAGAGGTATAGAGGTACATGCAGAAGGGGCTGGCAAACCGAGTATACAGCTGTCTTTTCCAATCAGGAGAGAGACACAAACTCCAAACTGCTCTGAACTCCAGTTCCGGGAGAGACTCTGGGGACCCAAACTCATATGGAAGAAATTGGACTGTCTGGCATCAGGCTGAACTCAAGGGCAGCTTTCTCTCAGAGGGACAATAAGACAAAGAGGACCACACCAAAGAAGGGTTGAGAATCAGCCATAGCTGTTTGCTCTGCTCTATTGGTTCCCTGAGATCCCACCTTACCCAAGCTGTACGCAGAGGCTTTTGCATATGAATGTCCTGACCCTCTGCAATCTAAAATTACCTAACAAACTGAAGCTGGGTCAGAGAGACCCAGAACATCCAAAAGAAGGCCCAAGGCCTCACAGCTGCTTTCACTGTTTCATAACTGGGCCTAATCTGAGCACCTCCAAAACCCAAACAAAGAAGAGGAATCTGAAGATCTCTCTATTGCTCCTGCTGGGTGGCCTCAGGCAGAGGCTAAATTAGCACCTACTTTGAGATCCAAGAGCCAGTGTACCCAGTGGTTAGAGTGGGACCATCCAGATTACAACTCCTCAGACCCATAAGGGACACACTCAAGGGGCAGACTCAGTGAGCACCAAAGCCCCACTGAAGCAAGTCTTGCCTCATAAGGGTGTCTCCAGCACAGAAGTTCTCCCATTGTAGATACAGCTGATCCTCACAGTCAATTGGCCTGGAGGTCAATTCCTTCCAGTAATACCAAAAACAATCAAGGTTTAACTACAACAAGACTATGCACACAGCCCACAAAGGGGTGCACCAAGAGTGTCTTCCTCAGGTAACTGGAAAGGCTGAGCCACTCAGCCCTTTAGGACACCTAGCAAACACCACTCTATCAACACAGGGAAGCAGCCAAAATGCAGAGACAAAGAAACAGATCACAGATGAAAGAAATAGAGAAAAGCAAATGACAATATAGAGTTGAAAACCACTGTTATAAGGTTTTTCAAGAATTTTCTAGAAACTGCTGACAAATTTACTAAAACCCTCAAGGATATGAAAAAGGACCAAGTAGAAATTAAACATACACTGACTGAAATAAAGAATAATATACAGAGATCCAACAGCAGACTAGAGGAATTCAAGAATCAAGTCAAAGATCTGAAATATGAAGAAGCAAAAACACCCAATCGGAAAAGCAAAAAGAAAAGAAATTTCCAAAAATATGAAGATAGTGTAAGAAGCCTCAGGGACAACTTCAAGCATACCAACATCTGAACTATGGGGGTGCCAGAAGAAGAGAGAGAGCAAGATACTGAAAACCTATTTGAAGAAATAATGACAGAAAACTTCCCTTACCCGGTGAAAGAAAGAGACTTACAAGTCCAGGAAGAGCACAGAACCCCATTTTAAAGGAATCCAAAGAGGACAACACCAAGACACATCATAATTAAAATGCCAAGAGCAAGAGACAAAGAGAGAATATTAAAAACAGCAAGAGAAAAACAGTTAGTTACCTACAAGGGAGCACCCATAGAATTGTCAGCTGATTTCTCAACAGAAACTATGCAGGCCAGAAGGAAGTGGCAAGAAATATTCAAAGTGATGAATAGCAAGAATTTACAACCAAGATTACTCTACCCAGCAAAACTATCACTCAGAATTGAAGTTCAGATAAAGAGCTTTACAGATAAGAAAAAACTAAAGAAGTTCATCACCACCAAACCAGTATGATATGAAATGCTGAAAGGTACTCTTTGATAAGAAGAAAAAGGTAAAGATAAAAATTATGAACAACAAATACATATCTATCAACAAGTGAATCTAAAAATCAAGTGAATTAAAAATCTGAGGAACAGAATAAACTAGTGAATATAATAATCAGGGGCATAGAAAGGGAGTGGACTGACAATTCTTAAGGGAAAAGGGGTATGGGATACAGGACTGGACAAAAATGGTACACCTATGGATGAGGACAGTGGGGGAAAGGTAAGGGCAGAGGGTAGGGTGGGAACTAAGTGGAGGGCAACTTTAGGAGGAAAAAGAAGAAACAATTGTAATAATCTGAACAACAAAGATTTATTTAAAAAAATAAATAAACATGTTCATAAACATCAATCTAAGGAATACTGGTCACTTATTTTATTTTGGTTATTATTAGAAATTGAGGCTTCTAAGAGTTAAAAATTCAAATTAAGTTGGGAGAATTTATATGTTGTGAAAATAGAATGCATGAGGTATGGAAATTCATTTTTGAGGAAAAAATTCATGCATTTTCTCTGAAAAATTAGTAATTCAAATTATGCAATTATCTTTATGTGTATGGTCTTTGTGCATTTATTTTAAATATATTTTATTGATTTTTATAGAGAGGAAAGGAGAGGGATAGAGAGATAGAAACATTGATTAGAGGAAACATCGATCAGCTGCCTCTTGCACACCTCCCACTGGAGATATGCCTGCAAACAAGGTACATGCCCTTGACCAGAATTGAACCAGAGACCTTTGAGTTCACACGCCAATGTTCTAGCCACTGAGCCAAACTGCTA